ATTTATAGGACAGAGAGAGAGTGGGACAATTCACTGATCACAAAACGTGTCCTGTTTGAAGTGTTTGACTGCTTCATACCATTGTTCTACATAGCATTCTATCAATTAAATGTAGTGGCTCTGAGAAGGGAGTTGGTTGGATTATTTTGGGGTAAGTGCATGTAAAACATGGCCACCTTTGCAGGCAACGTTTGACAAAAGGTTGCCTGCTGTTTAGGCTACATGTTATCTATATGACACTGTATAATAAAAAAACATAACCGCTTCATTTATTAAAGATTCAATKAATGGTTTTTGAAATTGTTATTTTACAGGTGATGAGATTCGTMGACTAGTCACAGAATCACTTATCCCGTATGTAAAAGAGAAAACTCATATGTGGAAAACAAAACGTGACTATGCAAAGACTAAAAAGGATGGTGACAAAGAGGCTCYCTTATCTACCCAGGTAAGGTTTGTCAAACTGAAAGGTGTTCTGTTAGCATGCTTATGATTAAATCATTTAATATTAACTCAAATGTTTATCTGAAGGCACAGCAAAATAAGGTACTAGAGGAGTATGACCAGTTTGATGATTACCTGGAAATGGTTGTCCAGTTTGGGGTAAGTATTTAAGACAGATACATGTCAGTGTTTTCTTGTTATAAGTAGATAGTAAATTATCTTGTGCAATGAGGAGGATTTCAGTGATTTCATTACAGTCATAGTGATATGGTCCTTTGCTGTACTGTTTCAGTATGTGACTCTGTTTGCGTCAGCCTTCCCATTAGCAGCAGCTGTCAGCATTGTGTTTTTGTTTATGGAAGCAAGATCCGACCTTTTCAAGCTTGTTTATGTATACCAAAAACCACTTGTTAAAAGGTAGGCCTGTGGGATTATCAAAGGGCTCTAAAAAAAGTTTACACTACCTCCTCCATACCGCATTACTACATTTCCTTGTCTTTTTGGTGTGTCATGCATCATTTTTCATTATCATTASACTTTGTATATCACACTTTGTTTCAAGCGTTTATGAAAAACACTCTACATGGTTTATAGGTTGCATGAAGATAGAGTAGGATCTAATCTGAGATTTCCATAGAACATATGAAAAAGGGCGTGGCCATCGTAACGCCTTAGATTATAAGATTGTCATTGTATCATTACTGCCCATTGAAAGAACATATTACAATGAATAAGATCTGAAAGTTTCAACATGTAAGGACCAAAAATTACAAGTGTTTTAAATTGCAAAGGTTTGAGTGAAAATTACCAGCCCCGTAGAATCCCGGATGTGGACATGAATTAATGATTGCTGTTACTGTTCACTATAGGGTGTCAAGTATTGGAGTTTGGTACAATGTGCTGTACTTGATGATGATTCTTTCCATGCTGACCAATAGTCTTATAGTAGGCTTCTCATCAGAGCAGCTTGCTTCGTGGTGCCCTTGGATGTACGAGACCATCGATGGCGACCAGTTTATTAAACCAGGATATGGACGGTTTGGAAATATTTTGATTTTCATTGTTGTTGTTGTTGCTGTAGTCGTTGTCCTTGTAGTTGGTGATGTTGTCAACGTTGAGACCACTAGTCACTTCACTCATTTTTTTAAATTTGTGTTTTTGTGGTTGTCACAAAAGAATGAGAATGACACAGGAGAGTCTGACAAGGGAAAAATTTTTGAAGGAAACATTTTTTCTCACCATAGTATTCACATTTCTACTATTTTTTTATATTTTTCATTGTAGATACGTTGTAGCCATCGTCTTCAGCTGTGAACATTTCTTGATCTTGTGTGCCGTTCTTGCCAAAGTTCTAGTGTCAGACCGACCAAAATGGGTACGTGTTGCGATTGAAAGAAAAAACTATCAGTTGGAAGAGGAACGAAGGACACTTGAGAAGTTGCAAAAACTACAGCTGGGCAAAGAAATCTTGACGTTTGATATTAAGGAAGAAAAAGACTCTGGCGAAGGAGTCATTAAACGGGATTTCGAGGAAGATATGGAATTTTGATGGCTTTAACAATTGATATTTCTACAATTTTCCGACAGGTTTCTCAGAGTTTTGATATTTATATATAATAGCTTCTGGGGAAGATGAGTAAACATTTGTATAACAGAAACACAGTCAGCGCCCGTCGTACAGAGGTATTCTTAATTTAAGTAGGTGTGATCGGTTGGTATTCGGT